GGATATGTTATAATATTGTTATCCTCTGGATGAATAATATTAGTATACATGTCTTTAGTGTCGGTGATCATACTATATGTTATTATTGTGTATTATTATTATGTTGATATGTAGAATAGTTTTTCCTCGATCTTTTGATTCGGAATTAATAATTATATAAATATAAAAGAAACATATGACAAAGTGTATATAACTTATTCATCCAGATTGAAAAATTAATAAGTAAAGTCGTCTACTTATATATGTTTACCTTTTGGCAATTTTTCAGAATATATTAATTTATTTTGATTCTGTTTGATCTTATCTCCATAACGTTGAATGTGCAAAACAAACATTTTTCCTCTTTGATACATTTACATGTTACTCAAACCGGTAATATATCAATACAGCAGTTTCATCATACAATTTAGATGCTGATAGTATGGTGATTTGTTCCTGAGGAACATAATATGTTTGAAGCAGTACCACATTTTCTTTATTTTTCTTAATTGGTAGAAATCCTGATCCCACAATAGTTAAATCTTCCTTTGACCCAATTCCTCCATATTTAGGTGCATTCTTAATTGTATGGTAATTCTTTAGCCAATTTCTTTTATTTGTTATATGAATTGGTGATCCAGTATCTATAAGAATTAAGTTCTTATCATGCTGAGGATCTTTTTGTCTGTTTTTAGAAGTAGATTTAATGTTGCTAATGGTAGTTGTTATGTTTTTATTTTTTGTATTTTTAAAGTGTTATTCAATGCTTGATCGTTATTGTACCTATAATTTACAGTATTCGTATTGCTATTGTTATTCGATATTTCTTGTAAGGACTTCTTCATTATCATATTCTTGCCTAAGTTTATTTCTTTTTTTCTAGAACAGTTTCTTGGGTGGTGGGATTCACTTTTACAATATAACTCCATTTTTCGATTTGAATTAGATCGTTTATTTTCTGTTCATAATTATCTGTGTTAAAACAGTATTCATCTATCAAAATCTCCTTCCACATTCTATCTTTTACATCTCTTGGATAACGAGACATAAATCTTTTCCTTATAAAATTATAATTTTCAGAAGCAGGACCTTCAAGATTTCTGTAGTTGTCAAACGTTCCATCAATGGAGTTTTTATTGTATTTCTTAAAATTGTGTCTTCAACCTTATCTATCTTTTAATTAACTTCTAATATATTATCAAAATTCCATTTTGTAAGAAATCTTTAATGTAGCTACTCCATATTGGGAAATCATCTAAAGTTTTTAGTGTATATTCAATTTTAGCTGACTCAGACTCCCAATAGAATTGAATTTTTTCGCCACGACAATTGTAACACGTATAATATTTGCCATTATCCTCTTTGCTGAATAGTAGAACTACATTTTGGATATGTTGTTCAATGGTAATCTTATTGTTACTATCGTTATTTAGAAGATCCTTTTTGTTATTATTAATACTGTTTTCCTTTATGAAGTTATCACTGTTATAAAATTTTTCTTTATTATTATTAATTTTAAATTTTAAAAACTCGTTAAGATTTTCAGTTGCCTTGTTTAATCTTTTAGAGAATAAGGTTTTTGACTTTTCAATTTCATCCATTTTAGTATTGATTTCTAAATCAGTTAAAGTATTATTTTCTAACAGCTCATTTTCTTGGTCTACCAATGTAGCTAATTTATTTGTGAGAAGATCAATTTGTTTTCTAAGTTTAATGATTAGATCATCATTGTTCACGGCAATGCTACCCTCTTGGAAAGTAGTGATGTTTGTATTTAATACAGTCACGACTTAACTTATTAGTAAATTGGATCTCTGGTTTATTAAAAACTTGTGAAAATAACCATGATTATATAGTATGATTTGTATAAATTGATCTCTCTTCTTTTGATTTTTTTCTTAAAATTTTTCTTGAAAAATATTTTTCTTTTCTAATTATCATCATGAACGACATAATAAAACAGTCTTTAATAAGGAAACCTAATAGACATACTGTTTATTTTCTAACACATATCTTACTCAATTATTCCTAATATCACTTAACATTGTTTCTTGATTTGATATCAATCTTCAAGATCTAGCGAATCTCTTTTCTAAAAATTTCCAAAAAATAGTCTAAAAGGAATAAAAAAATCAATAACAACAACAACTTAAACGTACTATCAGTAAATAATCAACTATGCTCCACACACTTCCATATAATACAATTTAGAACATTGGTAGACTACCATTCAACATCATGTGATCATGGTATTCTACATCTAATTATACTAGGTATAGTTAACTAAGACACCATAAGCTATAGGTAATCCTCCTGATACATACATTATTTCTAGACTAGATATCTATTAATAGAATACTTTACATTAACATAACGTCTTTATAAATATAATTACTTAAAAATATTCAGACGCAATTCCTTATCAATAGTTTGAATATGAAAAAAAAAGATTGTATATTACTTTATTATGCATTGGATGATATTATCAGATGGATATACTTACTACTAACTATAACATGATAACAGGAATAAATAATGAATATTCAAGCACTAATTTTCATTATAACATGGATGTTGTATGACTTGGAAATGAACATTATTTATTCTATTCATATCTCAATTAATTGATAATTCTGTTACTCCTCATTAGACACTGTAGAATAAATTAATATTGAAACAAATCATCACCTACCTAGAACAAACGATCTGGAAAATAAATAATCTAACGAATATAAACCAACTATTAGACTGAGACTGTTTTATTACAATTCCTAAAATATGTGCTATCTTTGATCAAAACTGTAATATTAACAATATGAATATAAGTAATAGAATAAGAATGTAACTAATATATTTTAACCTATCCAATACACCAAAATTGATTTCACATCAATTCCTATAATTTATCTATAATCAGATATTCCATTATAAAACTCTCACTACTAGAAATATTAATTTTATAGCTTTAACAAAATTGTTTTTCGTTACTAAAATTTATTATATTAAAATGATCTACTTGATTATTCAAATATTAACATAACCTTGTAACAATAAAATAAAAAAAGATGATAATCTTGGAAAGTAGTGGTGTTTGTATTTAATACAGTCATGACTTAACTTATTAGTAAATTGGATCTCTGGTTTATTAAAAACCTATGAAAATAATGCACATAATTATATGATGTATTATTGATGAGCATGAGCGCCCGTAGTCATTGGATATATAGTAAACATTCTCAATATTATATTAGATAGATATAGTATACAAAATTATAATAAAGTTCTTCGGTTTGTTTATTTATAAAAGGTGAACAAGGGGAGAAACATGATATGAAAAAAGCTGGCTTTATATATTTTCATATCTCCTCTATCTCGTCTATGTACGGCACCAAATTTATGATCAGGTTTGTTTACGTCTGCTGACAAGCAAACAGTACGTTCTCCACTTTTTCCTATCAATTAATGTTTACTAAAATCTAATTGGTCTATTATTAATTCTAGAAAGTTCAATTTCAGCAGTAAGTGTTCATATATGGTTAATATTCATATTGTAATATATATTACTTGAGATAATTTCTTACAAACCGGTGCTAAAACATATACACTAATATTATTTATACCGAGAAAAAAGAACAGCCTTCCTTTGTTACTTTTGAAATAATAAAAAACGCACCGATAAATTAATATAAAATATGTATTACAAGAGTAGATATTGGGGTATAGACAAATACTATTATATATAATACATATGTATATTGTTTAAAAATTAACTAAACCATGAATAGAAATAAGGAGAAAAGCACTAAGATAAAATTTGACCGTGTACCAGCAGTATCAGGAGCAGAAGCTTCGTATTGTGACAAGGTTATGGCACTTAATCTGCTACTTGGACTTGCACTTTGAGAAGATACGTGTAGTTGCTCTGGTGCAACAGTAATTTGTTGACTATTCATGATACTTGAAGTAGATGAACCTGAAGTTTCATAACGTGATAATGTTACTGTATTTGATCTGCCACTTGGATTTGCCCTTTGAGAAGATACCTGTAATGGCTCTTGAGTTGCAGTAACCTTTGGAGTATATGTGATTGCCTCAGTTGAAGAACCTGCTTGATCTTCAACCCCGTTTCTTCTGGACGATGATTCACTCTTCATAGTATTCCAACTGTTAACACTAAATGTAGGAGCAGAAGCTTTATATTGTGACAAGGTTATGGCACTTAATCTACTACTTGGACTTGCACTTTGAGAAGATACGTGTAGTTGCTCTGGTGCAACAGTAATTTGTTGACTATTCATGATACTTGAAGTAGATGAACCTGAAGTTTCATAACGTGATAATGTTACTGTACTCGATCTGCCACTCGACTCTGTGGTTTGAGAAGAGACGTGTAATGGCCCTTGTGCAATAGTATTTTGTTGACTATTCATAATAATTGAAGTAGACGAACTTGAAGTTTCATGATGTGATAATGTTACTATACTTAATCTACTGCTTGGACTTGCACTTTGAGAAGATACGTGTAGTGACTCTGGTGCAACAGTAATTTGTTGACTATTCATGATACTTGAAGTAGATGAACCTGAAGTTTCATAACGTGATAATGTTACTGTATTTGATCTGCCACTTGGATTTGCCCTTTGAGAAGATACCTGTAATGGCTCTTGAGTTGCAGTAACCTTTGGAGTATTTGTGATTGCCTCAGTTGAAGAACCTGTTTTACTTTCAACCCCGTTTCTTCTGGACGATGATTCACTCTTCATAGTACTCCAACTGTTAACACTAAATGTAGGAGCAGAAGCTTTATATTGTGACAAGGTTTTGGCACTTAATCTACTACTTGGACTTGCACTTTGAGAAGATACGTGTAGTTGCTCTGGTGCAACAGTAATTTGTTGACTATTCATGATACTTG